GCGGCGGCTGTGCTCGTGGGTTTCGCGTATGGATCTGCTTCCTTAACCACCAGATCCGGCGCCCGCTCTCGGGGTCCGCCTGTCTTTCTCCGAGGAGATTGATACGGAGAGCGTCAAAGAGCTCGCCAGTTGCACAAACATCAGTTACACAAGCAAATAAACAAATAAAGTATTTGTCTGACTATGAGAAGGTAGACATACAGGGGCTCTTGGGATAAAAATTTCTCGAGTGAGAGCACGCGCTTACCTCTCCTCCTCTGAGGAGGTTGAGGCGGTCAGCAGGGGCTGCTGGGGGGGAGCGGTCCCAACCTACCGTGTTCCAGCCCCTCATTCTGGGGGCCTCACTTCTCAAACAGGTCATGTCTCAGATCAAGTCCAAGGTCTGGTGTGTCACGATCGGTCTAAAAGATGCACATATTTCCATCCTTCCTCATCATAGGAAGTTCCTGAGGTTTGCTTTTGGGGGCAAAAGCCTACCAATACTGGTTCTTCCTTGGGCCTTGCACTCTCACCCCACACTTTCACGACTCAACCACATCGACGATTGGTTGATATTAGCTCAATCAGGGGGTGCGGTCATGAGTGGCCACCCTGCCCGCGGTCTGTGGAGTGGTCGCCATCTGACATGGCATATCAATTTTCTGGAGATGCTGGCCGTGTTTCGAGCTCTGAAACACGTTCTCCCAGACCTAAGAGGTCACCATGTGTTGGTGCGCACTGACAACACAGCAGTGGTCTCTTACATCAACCACCAGGGAGGTCTGCGTTCGTGCCCCCTTTACAGGCTGGCGCACCAGATCCTTGTGTGGTCCCAGCGGAAACTCCTCTCACTGAGAGTAGTTAACATTCCTGGGCATCTCAATATGGGAGCAGACATCCTGCCGAGGCAGGGGCCGAGGCCTGGGGAATAGAGACTTCAATATGGAGAGTGTTTGGCCAGGCTCAGGTGGACCTGTTGCAACTCTTATGACATTGCACTGTCCCCTCTGGTTCTCTCTGACTCATCCAGCTCCACTGGGGCTGGATGCCATGGTATAGACGTGGCCGAGGCTTCGTCTGGACGCCTTTCCTCCGATTGTTCTGCTCCCGGGAGTTCGGGAGAGAGTGCGCCGGGATGGGGCCCGTCTGTTGTTAGTAGCCCCGTTCTGGCCGGGCCGAGTATGGTTCTCGGGCCTGATTTCTCTCCTCGACGGCACTCCATGGGAGATTCCCATCAGGAGAGATCTCCTCTCACAGGCGGAGGG